TACATTAGTAAAAATGTTTAATCAAGCAATTTAATTCTGCCTGTCATCATTACAGAGTGACTTCGAGCAATGTTGACAGTGAGTACTGAACAAGGAATTTATAGATAAAGCATTTCAAGCTAAAGAGGAAAAGTCAGTAAAAAAAAAAATCTGGACTAAAATCTAACTTGTTTATATTGTTAGTTATAAATCCATGTTTGTTATCAATTATCAAGCAACAGTTATGAATTATTTGGTGGCGGTAATAAGGTGTTTCTACAACTGATCTTGACACAGCTTTACCAGCAGTGTCTGTAAATGGCAAATCTGAAATCTGGTAAAAAAACGACTGCTATCAACTATTTAAATGCTGTAGTAACATTTTCATGATTAGCTAATGAAAAATACCTTCATCTCCATGTCAGTAAAATCAATCCTACAGTTTTAGTTAGGTACCAGGTACTATCACCATATAACATAAACAAGACAAAAATAAACAAACAAGTGAGGACCACCATGAATTAACCAAACTCTGATCTCACTTCTGAGGGAACACAATCAACCTCACCCTTGTTCTAACAAAATAACTCTGATCTTACTTCTACTGAAATGTAATCAACCTCACCCTTGTTCTAACAAAATAACTCTGATCTTACTTCTACTGAAATGTAATCAACCTCACCCTTGTTCTAACAAAATACCTTAAACTTACTGGTATTAAGTAGGATAAACTAGGAGACACGTATGTGCGGCAAAGCCTGGTAGCCTAGCTTGTATAAATTACCTAACTCTTCGTGTAGCCTGGTAGCCTAGCTTGTATAAATTACCTAACTCTTAGTGTAGCCTGGTAGCCTAGCTTGTATAAATTACCTACCTCTTCGTGTAGCCTGGTAGCCTAGCTTGTATAAATTACCTAACTCTTCGTGTAGCCTGGTAGCTTAGCTTGTATAAATTACCTAACTCTTCGTGTAGATTCAAATTAATGTGCAGTTTGCTTTAATGTGTGTGCTAATTAGAGGAAAAATATAATTGAAGGAAGATACAAAGAGATGATGAAACCAAACTATAAAGGTTAGTGCTTTCTTACTCAAAAAACACGAACTTAGATTATATATATTCAGAAATAATTCTCCAACAATCAGAAGTCGTTATAATGCAATCAAGCAATGTGTAACAAACTGGGAATTGTAATATCGAGGGTGACAGCAGAACAGGTTTACACATAGAAAGCTCTTGGTATAACCAAAGTGCATGTTTTTTTAAAGTGTTAGAGCAGTCTCACAAGTCATCAAGTATAATTCTCCAGCTCAAGAAAACAAGGACAGATGAATAAATAATCTGATCCATCCAAAAAGGCTATATATAAATAGCGGTCTCATCAGGGAACAGGGTATATCAACAAGAAAGAGCATGTGGCGACAAACACAGTCAAACAAAAATAAGACACGTAATAGTCGAGGGGCGTTAGTCTTGGGAACGACACTAGTTGTTGCACAGTTAAAGCGACAAGTGCTGGCCGCAGTCCCTCAATGATGTCTTCACATGCACATAGATGATGCTCCTGGAACGAAAGCAAACATTCAACACTCGGTTAGCTACTAACATTGTGGACACTTCCTACAGCACATTCAATTCTGTTAGTTATGTAACTTCTTGATGTTCCTGATCTAATTGTTAGTATATTCCAGGCCAATATTATGTTACCGATCAGCTCCATGCTATTATATGGTTTAGTACTAACACAAAACACAATGTATTAACATGTAAGTTATTTCATGTAACTTGACATGACGAGTTATGACATGATGAACGGGGTAAAATGTTTTACACGCATGCAGAGATTTGTCTTTTAAAAGCATGCAGCAATATCAGAGAACTCATACAAGGGAGATAACTACAGTCCAAGAAGAACTCATACAAGGGAGATAACTACAGTCGGAGAAGAACTCATACAAGGGAGATAACTGTGCAACAACTAGCTGCAAAAGAAAACAGAACAGAAAGTTAACATTATGTCCCCATCTAAACATTAGTTACATACTTTTAACCTTCAGTCCATTTATGGCAGGGACTGTATCAGTCCTGGTTATCTCTCGAAAATCAACAAATAAATCATACAATTATTTGCTTATTCACATATTTTGAACAACACACTTTGAAAAGAAATTCATATCAACTGATATTTTTCGGAACAAATTTTCCTCAATAATCCTGTTTAAGTTTACAGTGAGATCTAAAACATATAAACAAATTGACATATTTATATAATTATATAAAGCCATATTATTTCAGGTATGAGAAATCTTCTTTGAATCCAGGTCTTGTTTCCTGATTCAGGGTGCTCTCTTTCTGCCGTTGTCCTCATGAAGTGAATATATACACAATGCTTCCAACGTGTCCCTACTTCCCTGTGAAATCTGCCTTCAAAATGATTGCCGATTTATTTAGATAGGAACATAACTGAATGACAAAAAAAATTATACAGAAAAAATAAAACACAAAGTGAATGGTGACATCCAACATAACTGTGTAGCCAACACCCTTGTGTGTGGTGGTAAACCCACGTCTAACACACCATACAGTTGTGTGTGGTGGTAAACCCACGTCTAACACACCATACAGTTAACTCATGACAGGTTATTGTACCAGCCTGTTGTAGGAGAGGCATACAACCCAAAACTTGTCTAATAATGATCATTTATTCATTATCACGCAGAAAGCAAATTAATCAGGTGGTCAAAGACATTTTAAAAAAGAAAGGTATTATTGGAAATGTTTTCAAGGAGAGGTCAAATTTGGCTCTGACTGAAAACGTTTGGGAGACACAAGGTGACTCTGACTGAAAACGTTTAGGATACACAAGGGCAAATTCTTTTTAACATTAACCTTCAAGGTGGTTGGTCATCTGTCAGCAAATAAGAACTTTTGAATATTTAAAGAAAGCATATCTGCATCCACCCTTTTCTTCTTGTGTTTCTTTTCTCTGTTTGGTGACTAGCCAAACAATGTGATGTAGATTCCACAAAGTTATTAACAACAGGCTGATACAAAAAAACTTTACCACACCTCACAACCACTTCTCGAAGGTAATCAAGTGACCAAATGTTATCTTTGTTTTGTAAATGTGTACAATTTCTAATGCTGTACATCACTGTGTTTCATCCCTACTTCAGATACATATAAACATTTGTCTGACATATATGGTCATTTCAATTCACAAGGACTTTGGAATTCACATGAAAATAGGTATATGGTACAAATTGACTGTAATTATCTTGATGTGTGATAGAAATAACAGTAGAACACTTCTAAGACAATACAATATCAGACATAGGTAACAGGCTGAGAATTATTTTCAAAATGTCATTACGATTTCTGTTAACTAATATATTAAATAGATAATAACATACAGAAATCAGTAAACAAACAGAATAATCTTTGTAACAAGATGGGCCTTAATAGCTCACCTGCTATACTTTTTTAATATTAAACAGACAGATGGACTTTAAGAACATATTTCATAAATTTGTTGTGCGAATGTTTAATTTGCATAACTGTATGTTTTTTTTAACATTTATGACAAAACTTGTCAGCCTTAACTGCATTAAAAATGAATGTATGATCCTTCAGACAAAAAAAAAACCAACAGTTTTTTTTAAAAGTTATTTTCCTAGGACAATTTACCTAATGACTTGTTATGACTTTTTTCCCTTCAACAAACTTTTAATATAAGAAGTATCCTCTGGGCAAAATTATGTTGATTTTAATTTATCCATAATCAAAAATAGGATTTACCTATATTTTCAACTTGGACCCCACCCAAATGCCCCCTGGACAGCCACATCCTTCGATTATAAATTTATGTTTCTCCTTGGCTCAAAGATGTTCCAGAAAAATTCAAATCTTTAACCTGTTCTGAAGGAAAAGGATTTTTACCAGCATTTCCCCAATGGGAGGCCTGCCCCTCTACCCCCCAATGGGAGGCCTGCCCCTCTACCCCTTAAATAGGAGGCCTGCCCCTCTACCCACCAATAGGAGGCCTGCCCCTCTACCCACCAATGGGAGGTCTGCCCCTCTACCCCTTAGGGGTTAACTCCCTCTCTTTATACCATGTTAATTGAATTTCCAATGGCAAATGGAAGCTCAAACCAAATGATAGTAAAATTCTTTAACTCCAGCTCAAAGAGTATGATTTTAAAGATTTCACCCAAACCCTTCAATTACGCTGAAATAACTTGTTTCATAGTTGCTGAACTATAAACTATAAATAAAGTTTATATATATATATTTACACTTGGCCCAAAAATGCTCCAGAATAATCTAGATTAACATTCTTTTAACATTTAAAACTTCCCGAATCCTCTTCCACCTAACACCCCCCCCCCCCCCAACCCCCCCCCCCCCCCCTTTTCCTCGGTGGGTGGGGTACACACCCTTCATTTACACAAAATTGAATCTCCTTAGCCTAGCAATGTTTCTACTACTAGTATGGTCAAAATCCATTTAGCCATTCAAGACTACTAGGCTTTTTAGTGTCTAGTTGACTGACGATGACAGACGATGCACTACAGCATATAAGCTCACTCTCCCTTCAGGCAAGCAAGCTAAAAAATCATGTTCAAATAATAAAGAAATTCAAACAGAACAATAAAACTACAAAGAACAAATAAAACACTAGAAAATGATAAAAGTAAACAAATAAAGCTATCTCCCTTCTCCCATTCCAATTTAATTATTATCCATACACACTTCATAACTATTTGTCAAATAGGTTACATAAAGTCAACAGGGTGAAAAGATCAACAAGTGAGAAATGCAACATATGTCAAAAACTGTTTGCTTCAATGAGGAGAAAAAGATCATCAATTGAAAAACTGTCATATTAACTCAAGATTTTACAAAAAAAATATGATCCAAAGATATCAAATTATTTGTGAACTCAAGGTTTTGAAAATTTATTCTGATTTTTTACAGAAGCTCCAAGAAAATAAACGGATGGACCTTGTCTGATGTATACATACCCTATTTACTCCAATTTTCCGACAAGCCTCTAGAAAGTTTTCCACATTTTTCCGACATTTGGCCAGGGTGAGTTTTGGCTGAAAGAGATTACAAGTAAGGATATTTCATATTTCATCTGATTGAAGAAGATCACCAGCATTATCATGTCTGGACTAGATGATATATTTTGTGTGAGGCACTGTGTTTGAAACTATAGATAACGTAAACATTATAGTGTTTGACCAGTGGAGTACGGTCCCTCTGGTGACATGTATATCAGAGTGAGTTGATGGAGTATAAACCTACCACAGCAGGTGAAGGGACATGTATACTGGTGATATGTATATCAGAGTGAGTTGATATAGTATAAACCTACCACAGCAGGTGTATGGACATGTATACTGGTGATATGTATATCAGAGTGAGTTGATAGAGTATAAACCTACCACAGCAGGTGTAGGGACATGTATACTGGTGATATGTATATCAGAGTGAGTTGATAGAGTATAAACCTACCACAGCAGGTGAAGGGACATGTATACTGGTGACATGTATATCAGAGTGAGGTGATGGAGTATAAACCTACCACAGCAGGTGATGGGACATGTATACTGGTGACATGTATATCAGAGTGAGTTGATGGAGTATAAACCTACCACAGCTGGAGAAGGGACATGTATACTGGTGACAGAGCGGGGTCGGATACTGTTTGCGAGCTGACAAAGCAGCACACCATCTCGTAGTACATCCTGGATATTTTCCGGAAGCGTCACCTTTAACTTGGTCTCAATCGTCTGCAAAATAAAAACATTACATTACTTTACATGGCCTAATGCCAGTGAAGGTCATTGTGACATTGGTTTGGTGAACTTTCTGTGATATTCAGCTCCTTCCCAAAAATAGTTTCACTCTAAGAAGTCTGTCTTTGACACTGATTACAAGGGAAATACTCACACAAATGATTTGTATTCACAAATTATGGGTATTTAGTTTTGAGTAGCATATGCCTTGAAAATAATAATGTTTTCTGAATGCAATTCATTTCAATGTAGTTTGGATTAACAAATTTACTTTGACTCACCCTTCTTAAACTTTCCATGGTTTCAACTTCCTCTCTCTGTTGATCCATCTGCCGCCGGATCGTAAAATTTGGATCCGAGTCCTTGTAACTGTCTATCACTTTCATCGTGCTATTTGACAGGACTGGGGATAAATAAGGCAACATGTCAATGATGTAAAAACATCAATGGTAATACTTCAATAATAAATAAGGCAACATATCAATGATGTAAAAACATCAATGGTAACACTTCAATGATAAATAATATCTAGACTATGATAGCTAATATTTACAGACAATTATAGCTAATATCTACAGACTATGACAGCTAATAACTACAGACAATGATAGCTAATATCTACAGACAATGATAGCTAATATCTACAGACTATGATAGCTAATTAATAATATCTTAATATCTACAGACAATGATAGCTTATATCTACAGACAATGATAGCTAATATCTACAGACAATGATAGCTAATATCTACAGACTGTTCAGCATCCAAATTATACTTTCACTTCACAATCTGCTGTACTTATTTATCAGACAATAGAAACCATGCTATCACAACCTATCCCCTATGGTCCTCTTTCAATATTTCACTATCAAAATGAATAAAATATCCACAGTTGATCCTAGTCAGGCGAATCGTATCATAAGCTGCCCATTATGTACCATTACAGTGAAACTCCACACAAAGGTGACTGGTATTGGTTTACCTGCTCCCTGACGTTTGGCAGACACAGAGGAATAACTGGTGCGGGGTGCCAGGATTTTCTTCTTGTCTTCATCAGATGATGTACTGCTTTGTCTCTGTTAATCCAAATGTATGTCAAATTAAACATCGATACAAATCAAGTATAATCAGCGGAGGAATAAAACGCAACCTAACTGGATTAAATAAGACACTATAGTTTCAGAGAATAACAAGAGATTCTAGAAGGATCTTGGCACCTACAATGAAGGGATCTTTATCAGATCTACAAATAAATGATGATATTTTAACATCTTTCGTCTTCATTTTCCTTGCAGGTAATATTACTCATGCAAGAAATCCTAAATGGGAATGCTGTTCACTGACTGAAACCTCATAATGTCATATGTTATTTGCCACTCTGACAAATGTTATTTTAGGAGAACTACATAACTGTATGTAAAATGATTAGAAGTGCTGTCAATAAGATGAATTTTCATTAGGGCCACCGGTTCTTTTTAACAAGGGGACCAAACATATACAAAAATAATAACCAAATTGAACTGTCAAAATTCAAGATGGCTGTCTGGTGGCCATCTTGGTTTTCATATCAGTCACAAAAATCAATATGCATAACTACGGACTATGGGGAACCTTCATGTGAAATTTGAGAAAGATTTCTCCAGTACTTTCTGAGGAGTAGCAAAAACAAACTTTCACTTTCAAAAGCAGCCATCTTGGTTTTTCAATCAGTCTCAATATTCAATATGTATAACTAGGGACCAAGGGGAACCTTCATGTGAAGTTTGAGGATTCTTCTAGTTCTTTCTGAGAAACACCGCTAACCAGTATTGACTGATGGATAGACGGACAGACAGATGAAGGATGATTTGTACCGCTAACCAGTTTTGACTGATGGATAGACAGACAGATGAAGGGTGATTCGTACCGCTAACCAGTATTGACTGATGGATAGACGGACAGACAGATGAAGGGTGATTTGAACATCAGATGATGGGCTAAAAGGTCTGGACTAACCATCACTGCATCATTGCACCCAAAATACTAGCTTTACCACATTTCTATAAAAAGCCCATTTTAGAGGAGAATTCTATTTGGACAATAACAAAATACCAACTCCTTCAAAAAATTGTAATGTATCTTAACATAGAAAAAGATAATGGGTGTTTGTTACACCATTAAGCTACCAGCCATTTATCATCAACTTAGGTCTTTTGTTATTAAGCCGAATCTGTTTGAAGATTTAAACAGATTCGATCTTTGATACCTTGAACATTTTCAAGGTGATTCATTGTAACAAACTTGACAGCCCTTTCTCCCAACATACCGGTCAATATCATGACCCTAGCTAGTCTCTTGGTTATTGAGAGGGGATGTTTAAATGTTTGAACACATTTAACCCAGATGATCTTGAGAGCAGGTAAAAACATTTCTATTGAATATCACTTATCCAGTCAAGTTGGCAGGCAACCCTAGATATCCAGTCAAGAAGTCACAAAGTCACTCTAACAAGGGAGTAATAAAGTCACAAAGTCACTCTAACAAGGGAGTAATAAAGTCACTCTAACAAGGGAGTAATAAAGTCACTCTAACAAGGAAGTAATAAAGTCACAAAGTCACTCTAACAAGGGAGTAATAAAGTCACAAAGTCACTCTAATAAGGGAGTAATAAAGTCACTCTAACAAGGGAGTAATAAAGTCAAAAAGTCTCACAAACTAAATCCTGTTTTTGAATTATTTCCTAATATGAGTTAATTTTGAAGATTTCCAAACTGGAATTTGTGTATGATACACAAGATGCTAAAGTCACCTTGGATACAAAGTTGTTGACGGCCTCTCTCTGAGTCTGGCGGAGTTTGTTTGGGTCGTCGAGGCGTGACTTGGCTCTCTGTGCCTCCTGATGTTGTGAAGTCTTCAAAGACTGGTGTTTCTGTCGAAACTCTTCCTCCTATGGAAAGACACCTATACACTTCACTTATCTGCTAGATTACTTTTGGCCGGCGACTTATATTTCAAATGGAAATTTGAGTTATGATATAACTGATACAGAACAATGATGTACATTTGCATTAAAATAAAATTCTGTTGACAAAAAGATCTATTCTGCATACCAGGAATCCTTCCTCCAGTGAAATATTAGTCCCTAATGATTGAAATATAATACAAAGTCAGCTGTGTATTTCAAAATACTAATTCACAGCTTACAATAGGGGTGTCACAATATATTGCAATACAGAATGAAAATATTGCGATACATATCCCGATATATTGGAAGGATGTGCTAAATTTTTTAATAAGTTGTTGTCAGAATGTTATCAAACTTAATCATATATAACATGGATCACATAGATTCAAGATTTTTGTCAAACCAACCATCGATTACAAAATAAAATTTCTATTACAAAATTTGTAGTAATATGCAAAGTTAAAACGACAAGCAGATACATAAAAACATGCTTTTGAAAAATATTGCAATACAGCAATATTTAATCTCTGTATTGTGTGGTACGTTACAATATACCTGTGTATTACGATATACCTGTTTTTCGATATATTCTGACAGCCCTAGCTAACAATCAGAAAAAAAAGGCACGATATAAATTGTGGAAAACATTTCCCAGTACAATATTGAGACATTACCAAACAAAGGTTGTTTAATCTATGTTTCTCTCTGACATGATGGAAACTATTTGTATTGAATGAGAAATATTTGATACTTCATTTGACCAGTCTAGTAAAAATACTAATCCTCTTTGACAGTGTACATATAGCTGTTACCAAACAAACACTCAACAACACAAATATCTTACAGGTGTTACATGGTTTTTCCTGGCACTGTTTGTTGATGCTGTAGTTGGTAACGTTTTTGACATAGCTGGTTGACGACCAACAGTACCCGTCGTGGATGCTGTCGTCGCTCGCCCATGACGCTCCACACCGGCAGGGCCCTTTGTGGGGTTCGTGGATGCAGCAACACGCTCGGATATTTTACCTCGTCTTGCCACTGAACTTGGAATCTGTTTTGATTCACCAGCTTTATTGACAGACGATGTTGATGAGGCTGGACTCGGTCCAGCGGATCCGATGGACGAACGGGGACTAGGACTTGGCGACACGAGTGACGTGGACGATGATCCAGAAGGATTTCTTGGGTTGGAGGGACCACTGCAGGTCAAAAATCACAAAAACAATTTAGCTTTTAAGTTTCAAGATAAGATAAGTTTTTCCAAAATTTACATTCAAACATGTAGAAAGCAACCCTGGTTCAATTTATATTAATTTTCAATTATTTCTCTATATCTGACCTGATATGACCGACATTTTTGGTTTTCAAACTGAATCTTTGAAATGAGTTACAGGACATACGTGTTCGATTGTACAGTAAAACCTGTATACTTTGACACTCTGAGGAACACAATACGCATGTATATAGGCGGTATTAGACAGGATGTCAAAGTCCACAGGCCTTACTGGGTACGCTTCATTACAAATGGAACATCATGTTTGATGAAACTGAGGTCACAATAATCCGGGGTCAGATGAGACATGTTTCACATATTAAGACAATAAACACGACTTGCAATATAATTTGTATCCCCATACACAAGTTAAATTAGTTCGTGACATCTTACAATATTTGTGAAACGTGAGTCAAAAGAAAATAATTGAAACTAAAAAGAAATCAACAAATTGGTGAAATTAGAAATAACGATGATTACAATTGCTTAGGTTATGCAAAGTAGGGTACGTAATACAGGTGTATTCAATGATGGTCCATCTGGAGTTTTTATTAACAAAACTTGCAAAGGAATTAAGAAAATATGGTTTAACAACTTCTACAAACGGCAATTGATTTGTGTGATAAGGACAAATAATTCAGAATTGAACATTCTTCTTTAAAATTGAAGTTGCACAAATGCAGATGTTTGTAGATTCTTTTACCCAATTTCATTATTTAAAATAGACAGTTTTACAAAATTTACAAACAAATATGAAAATCAAATAAATAATAAAAACGCAACAAAATAATTACTTCTTAACATGATTTGAGCGACTGGGATTATGGGGGATGGATGACTGGGGGTGTTTAGGGGTACTGTCAGATGCCGTTCTTCGGTAATGGGTGTTACTAGACGTCGTTTTCCGCTCCTCTTTAAAACTTTGTGACGTAGGGCCTGGTTTTCTGTAAGACACAATGTGCTAATTATAGACACTGGTTAGTGGTTGTGACACACTGGTCCATAACATCAAGGTGCCATGCCCTGTGACAAATCAACTCATTGTGGCTTCAACAACCAACAAATCATGGACACGGGTTGTTTTTATATAAAAAAAATAATCAACAAATGCACCTTCTAAGTTGGAACTGTAACCGTTTTAAGTGGAATTTATTTCAACAATTCTTAATTCTTTTATTCAAAATCCTTTAAATTCGTAACGTACACGACTTTTAAAATGATATATTAAGGTATAATATAGAACTTACTTTGATGAATACATGAGATACTTTGCACATTTCATTTTTTCCCTTTAGCCAATCACCATTACACAAGTTCTATAACAAGATCCAAGGTAACCATGCAAGTTCTACGATACAGTACCACAACTGACACGAGATCATCAGTGTGCACAGCATTGCTACAACTCGAAGTTTACAGTCAGAGGCAAACTGGCAACAGTTACTTATAACTTTACATGAAAGCTGAGTTTTTTGTTTTTTTTTAGAAAAGCTGATCATATTTCGAAGTTGTTGTGCAGCAGGTTTCAACAGAAGCAACACCGAAATTTCTGTTTTTTAAAGTGTCCAATGAAAGCTAAAAGCAACATTCTTTTAAAACAATCAGGGTCAACCAAGAAGCTCAGAGGTCTAATTTGAAGCCAAGTCCATGTCAAGGGGAAGATTAGAAATCCACAGTATTAGTAAGGTAAGGGATTGTCATGTTTCCTCTCGTCTTGATTTTAATAAAAATCAAAATCAAAAAGAATTCAAAACAAACTGAAGAAAATCAAAAATAAACCAAAGTAAGATTCATCATTTTTTTTGAAAATGAACATTGGTTACTCAAAATATGTGTCAGATCTATACAATTTTTTTTTCTCTGTTTTAGTGCAACAAAATTATAACTTCTTAAAGAATATTTTTCTCAGATTTTCCCAAAAGATAAAATTATCAATAATACTTTGATCACTTCATGTCATAACTGAAATTATGCTGATTGTGTCTTCAGTAACGCAGACAACTTCACTCTACCGGAACGTGTTGGACAAATCTCATACCCATATTGCATGCTATAGGTATCCGTTGGACTGCTGTCATAGCGATTCCCATACGAGTACCCTGTAGGAGAGTACCCCGTTGGTGAGTACCCCGTTGATGAGTACCCAGAGTACCCGGTCGGGGGGTCAGGTGCATGCCAAGTGTTGTGCAGGTACCCGTAACTGGAACAAACAAGGGGAGACAAGCATGCAGAAACATATCACCACCAGGGGGCATCGACGGAGACGGTGGAGTGAAAGGTCGCAGTGATCAACAAGTCCCTTTGCTACATGTGAGCAGATGCAGAGTTAGCAGTTAGTAGTAGCAGCCAAGGTGACCCCATAAAACATTCATCTGTCCAAATGTGGTTAGCCGTACACATATTTTTTGGTCTATTAACCATAACGGAAAGTCGTCAATCGTTTTTGAAAGAGTGTGTAAGATATAGTATAAATATCTTTTGTAAACAGATTTTGATCAAAAAGAAATTTGTCTCGCAGCTAACCAAACCTGCAGTACATAAATCATGCTTCAGGCAGCAAGCTTAGCACAAGCCAAAACTAATCTCAATTTTATGTGGGAGCAGTTGTTTTCAATAGTTCCACATTAAACACCAGCAATCTCTTTATTCTGCCTCTCTTTTGTTCATTTTCATACCATGAATCATGAATATTTATTTTTTATTTTTTTCCCCTTCCATACTTCTTACATATCATGAAATATCCATTATTTCCTTCAATACTGAAATGTAACGTCTCCTCTGTTTATAATACACAGGTATGTTGTTTCTAATATTACTAATGGCTTTCGCATTAAAAGAATATTTGCTTACAATGTTTCCCAAATTGTTAGGACACCCAACCTGCCCTACACACATATCTCCCACACCTGCCCTACACACATATCTCCCACACCTGCCCTACACCCATATCTCCAACCACCTCCTACACACATATCTCCCACACCTGCCCTACACACATATCTCCAACCACCTCCTAAATACACACATATTTACTATAGTGCCCATTGATATAATGTGTTCAGCTTTTATTTTTTTTTTATTTTTTTTTTAATTTTATCACACGAACAATTTCAATAAATAAATACATTTTTGATCATTTCTTTTATAATGATTAAGGCTTCAAACTAGGGTTGTCAACAGTTACTTGGTTGGAAGACCACAAACCGGTAACCAAAATCGGTTACCAAAGAGTTGGACATATATTTATATCCCCCTGGGGAGCTCCATGTTTACCTAGCTTATACCTCCTTATACTCTACCGGTGAGACTGAAATCAGATCTTTTTGGCAATAAAAACAATGCTCAGGCTAGCCTTTTAGGGTGTTGTTTTGTATTTGATAGTAAGGATTGACAAAGAGTTGCAGACCACACCATAAAAAGCCTGAACCAATTTTTAACGGGAGCAAGAATGCAAATTTGTGAAATGTCAACTTTGCAAGGAAGAACTTGCTTTAAAGGGCGAGACGTAAAACAATTTTAAAGAGTACTCAATTGTATATCATTGAAACAGTGACAACATTGAGTAGACATAATGTGTATCCCACTTTATGCTGACTGATGCTGTCAATAAAATATACTTTGAATTTCCTGCGTTTAGGTGTTGACAGCTTGAAATAGGTGAGTAAACTATTGTGAAAAATTAATAAATATAAAGTGTAAACTCATTTTGAATGGAAAATTAACTAAACATTTGTATTCATTGTTGTTTATTGTTTGATTACTGAACAGAGAGATTTTAAAACCGGTTATTGGCGTTGGTTAGTAAGATTTTTCCAGTATTCGACTCTACTTCAAACTGTTTGAAATAAGATTGTAAAACAGCTAGATTAGGCCCTTTGATTGCATACAGGAGTCATTCCACACAATCATCATTTCAGACAGGCTACAGTATTGGTTTTGAGACAGGCCACTGATTCACTGTTAACATCCACTTGGTGTAAAATATTAAAGGAAATGAAAGATGCAGGATACATTTTTATATTTGTAGATAGTCGCTACCGTAATCTATGAAACACACTTACCATTAAAAGAAATGGTGTTCTCTTCTTTGTTTTTGTGATTAGTGTTTAAGAGATAACTAATGATAAGAAGGGAACTATAGGAGATTACTTCATATTAAGCTCAGTATTATTACTGCATGCCCATTATGCACAATTTGTTTTTGCAGGAAATGATTTGATATGTACAGGTGAAAGGGAAAATAAAAATATTATAATGTATGATTGTTCCTTTTTCTAATGAGGAGCCTGTCTGAAATAATTCATGAGTGTCCACCTGAAAAATAATCAAAGGGAGACAATTCAATTCAAACTTCCAAAACCTGACTTTTTTGTATACCAGTGGTAATTTCCACCCTTTTTACCCTATATCTGTACCAAGTCATAATTATGCATCTCATGAGGAAATTGTTTTGTAATGAACGTGTCTGGAATGTTTTGTTATTCTTCTATCAGCTGGATCAAAGACACCAAACTATATGCCATAGTCAAATGTCTGGTTACATGTGTAAAAAGCCTGAGTTTACGGAAAGTGTGTAATGATCTACAACTATCTTTATCCAAAGTAAGTTGTACATGCATGCTAAATTTGTTTAAATTTTACTATTCTAACCCAAAACACATTTTTTCGGTAACATTTTACATATAAAAATGCCCCATGATTTGGATTATCTTGGATTATCTTGGATGTTTGATTAAGGGTCAATCTATATTTTTTCCATTCTGGAGTGTTAAATGATGAGCACACAAACACACTCGTACAAACTCTATTTACCTACTGTTACACAGCAACTGTCAGCTTGAAAAAATATGTATTTTTTAATCTAATTACCCAACTTCTATAACATTGCGAGTCTTCAGTCAAGACTGTCAGTGAGCTGCCCACATTTAGTCAAGACTGTCAGTGAGCTGCCCACATTTAGTCAAGACTGACAGTGAGCTGCCCACGTTTCCTCAAGACTGACAGTGAGCTGCCCACGTTTCCTCAAGACTGACAGTGAGCTGCCCACAGTTAGTCAAGACTGACAGTGAGTTGTCAACTTTCTGTCAAGATTGATAGTGAGCTGCCTGTATTCATTGAACACTGACAGTGAGCTGCCTGTATTCATTGAGCACTGACAGTGAGCTGTTCACTCAGTCAAGACTGACAGTGACATTAACTGTAAAGGTCATTTGAAAGCCCCGACAACTAAAACCAGGTGTTGGATTGTCCACTTAAGTTTACAACTTGTTTCCAAGTCAGATTAAATGGGTTAGTTAAGTTGTTAGTGACAAGGTGAGCATGCAAAGGGAGGTAAACAGGGATAACGAAAGTAAACAAGGCAAGCAGACATCAAGGGAATCAAACAAACCATCCAATTTTAGTACAAGGTACCTTAATGCGCTATCGATAGTGCTTCTGCGTGGCTTCATTTTCCTTTCGTGGAAAAAAAATAGAATCTCTGTATGTGTTTTGTGTAAACAGAGAACACAGTAACATGTCTGGGGTCTGATATATAAACAAAATATAGACAGAAATTTATACTGATCACAGTAACATGTCTGGGGTCTGATATATAAACAAAATATAGACAGAAATTCATACTGATCACAGTAACATGTCTGGGGTCTGATATATAAACAAAATATAGACAGAAATTCATACTGATCACAGTAACATGTCTGGGGTCTGATATATAAACAAAATATAGACAGAAATTCATACTGATCACAGTAACATGTCTGGGGTCTGATATATAAACAAAATATAGACAGAAATTCATACTGATCACAGTAACATGTCTGGGGTCTGATATATAAACAAAATATAGACAGAAATTCATACTGATCACAGTAACATGTCTGGGGTCTGATATATAAACAAAATATAGACAGAAATTCATACTGATCACAGTAACATGTCTGGGGTCTGATATATAAACAAAATATAGACAGAAATTCATACTGATCACAGTAACATGTCTGGGGTCTGATATATAAACAAAATATAGACAGAAATTCATACTGATCACAGTAACATGTCTGGGGTCTGATATATAAACAAAATATAGACAGAAATTCATACTGATCACAGTAACATGTCTGGGGTCTGATATATAAACAAAATATAGACAGAAATTCATACTGATCACAGTAACATGTCTGGGGTCTGATATATAAACAAAATATAGACAGAAATTCATACTGATCACAGTAACATGTCTGGGGTCTGATATATAAACAAAATATAGACAGAAATTCATACTGATCACAGTAACATGTCTGGGGTCTGATATATAAACAAAATATAGACAGAAATTCATACTGATCACAGTAACATGTCTGGGGTCTGATATATAAACAAAATATAGACAGAAATTCATACTGATCACAGTAACATGTCTGGGGTCTGATATATAAACAAAATATAGACAGAAATTCATACTGATCACAGTAACATGTCTGGGGTCTGATATATAAACAAAATATAGACAGAAATTCATACTGATCACAGTAACATGTCTGGGGTCTGATATATAAACAAAATATAGACAGAAATTCATACTGATCACAGTAACATGTCTGGGGTCTGATATATAAACAAAATATAGACAGAAATTCATACTGATCACAGTAACATGTCTGGGGTCTGATATATAAACAAAATATAGACAGAAATTTATACTGATCACAGTAACAGAAACACAGTGAACTCAATGTAGGTATAAACAAAGAGCAAACACAACAACATTTACAGACAGTTTATAACTGTATAAGGGATTAGGGACAGATTTTCAAAACCAAACTTGAAAATTAAGAAAATTGAATTTCAAAAATCACATTGGCAATAATTGTATATATTGAATATTTCCAAATCAGTTCTAGAATATTGAGCAATTTACAGGGTTAGTTTTAGAAAAAGTGATGCATATGATATAAATGACAGTTTTAAAGTGAACAAAATTCATCAAATCAGTGGAAAACACAGCAAAGAAATCAATGGTGGTATCAAGGCATTCTTACACATTCTCAACCTGACAGAAGTCAGCTTTAAAGTCAGAGAAATCTCAGAATGTTTTTTCACAATGAAATCTTTGCAGATTGAGCACCACAGATATCACACTGAGTATAAGTATGCTTCTTCATATATATTTGCCTATTTTCTGATTATACCCGCTAAAATTTCAAAATGTTGTGTACAGATCTAGTGTAGACATATTATTTAATTTTAGTTATGGACATTCTTGAAAGGCTGATTGCTTGATTCACTTTTTTTCATATTTTATCAACATTGAGCAAAAATGTTTGAATTCTTCTACAGTAATTCCTATATGAATGAAAATTAAAATGGTGATGGATGCTAATAAGAGTTAGGGAAAACAATTATCATTTCTCATTTCCCACCCCCCGCCATAAAATTGTAGTTTAGATCAAAATTTGCAAACAACTTAACAAGAAAAAAAATTCTGATAAATTTCCTAAACACAAGCAGGCTCACAATTCTACAAAACCCAGTACATCTTTTAACTGACTTCAATCAGATTGAGAATTCATTATCAAAATAACAGTATCATGGGGAGAAAACTGTGCCATGCGGTCATAGAAAGCAGGTGGTAATGATATCTAATTAAGTCCTTGTCACAACACGATGCTGGACACACACAACCTGTATTACTGCTCATCTCACCAGTTATCTCCCTTTTATTTCTGGATCTCAAAGTGTATGTTATCTAACCCAATATCTGTTTGTTAACATTGATAAACATCTACAAAATAGACCGTTTCTCTCAGCCAATCACTTACCTTCTAATGGAACGAAACATTAGCTCGAGACTACACTTATTACAAAACTAAGTGTTAATTAATACGTGTTCATATACTGTACTAGAAAGAAATACTTTACCAGACTAAAGAATGCCTCTCATAAAAACAATTCTGATTAAAAATAGGAATAAGAACATGTTCAAATGAGTTCTAAAATTTGTAACATTGCATTGCTATGAAACATGGAAGGAGTTTCTTTCACTAAGATAACATTACTTCAATTTCCAACAGTGAAGAAAATAGCTACACCCAACAAGATTATGCCTGTATCGTTAACCTTTAATTTGAGGAACTATTTATTATTCCATACAAGTAAATACTTTACATGTGAAGGACGGCGATAAGATAGACAGGTGTAAGAGAGAACATACTTGTTTTCCACTTTGTACTTTTGTGAATCCTCATGCTGTTTCTGTTCTTCCATCTTCCGTGCTTCGTCCTTCTGTCTTTGATCTTCCCTTAACCTTGCTTCCTCCTGTCTCTGTGCTTCCTCCTGTAGTCGAGCCTCCTCTCTCTTCCGCACCTCCTCCTGTCTCTGTGCTTCCAGCCTGTAACAGGAAGCCCACAGTACCATCATGTCCCCTCATTAATCTCTTATTGGATTAACACAACTTTGTCTATCAACAATTCCCTTTATTCCTTCTGCCCAGAATCAGTCAGAATTTGCACTTCCTGTTCAGCAATGACCTTTTTATTTCAGATTTTTTTAGTCACAGGAAATGTGTACATGACATACAAAGTCACGTTATGGATTTGATCTATACTGCCTGTCCAGCAGTGCTATTTGTCAGTTGTTGACTTTTGATCAGGTGCATATTTGGTTACATGGACCTAAGAAAGTGATATAAGCTGAAACAAACTTCAGGTCATTTAAGTTTGTAAGGTCCTTATCACCAGGATAAAAGCCCCTTATTGTTATATTAGATATAATAGTTGTTATTCAAACAATCAACTAAATAGAATATATGAAAATTGTCAAGAGAAAAGTACTGCATTTATACTGCTTGTCCTGGGGTAATCATACTTTATACTGCCTGACCTGTGGTAATCATACTTTATACTGCCTGTCCAGGGGTAATCATACTTTATACTGCCTGTCCAGGGGTAATCATACTTTATACTGCTTGTCCAGGGGTAATCATACTTTATACTGCTTGTCCAGGGGTAATCATACTTTATACTGCTTGTCCAGGGGTAATCATACTTTATACTGCTTGTCCAGGGGTAATCATACTTTATACTGCTTGTCCAGGGGTAATCATACTTTATACTGCTTGTCCAGGGGTAATCATACTTTATACTGCTTGTCCAGGGGTAATCATACTTTATACTGCTTGTCCAGGGGTAATCATACTTTATACTGCTTGTCCAGGGGTAATCATACTTTATACTGCTTGTCCAGGGGTAATCATACTTTATACTGCTTGTCCAGGGGTAATCATACTTTATACTGCTTGTCCAGGGGTAATCATACTTTATACTGCTTGTCCAGGGGTAATCATACTTTAAACTGCTTGTCCTGGGGTAATCATACTGTATACTACCTGTCTTGTGGTGATCTTTTTTATATATTTTTCTGTCTGCTAGCCCAGCAGTGCTTATACCTTGCATCTTCCTGAGCGCGCATCTCGCCGCGCTGCCGGTCCAGCAGTGCTCTCTGCTCCTCCTGCAGCCTGATTGCGGCACGTCTACGCTGCTCCTTTTCATCCTCCTGTTCCTGCTGCATCCTCAGCTGCTCCGCCATCTTCTTCCTTCGTTCATAATCAGATTTCTGACGCTGAAGCTCCTGGAAAACATAATACCTCTAATCTTGTACAACTGACCTTTAGAAACGAGTCCATGTTAGTGAAGAATATATGTCAAGGTGTATAAAAACATCAACAAAAGGATTTTAAAAAGGAAAAGGAAATTTTGTGCGAAATGTTTAAAATTTCATTTTCTCAAATTATGATTAAGAACAAGAAAATTTACTATCAAATGTGATAACCATGCTTTTGGTCTGAAAAGGTTTAAATACAATAAGTTCTATTCATGCCTAAATTGAAGAATGACAAACTTTTGATACATTCTCATTTTTTACGCATGTGATTTAATGAAATTACACCAAAATTTACCAATACAGTTCAAGTTATAACCTTCTAGGTGAAAGATGTTAAATGCATGCATAGGTCAGAAAAATCCAAAAGCTCAAAAGGAGCATATCTGGACTTGTGTGAAATAAGACCTGCAGTCAGTCAAAACGTGGCCCAAACCTTGGTAGATAGCAATTGTAGGTTGTGTCAGTCAGACACTATGGAAACAGGCGATAGCAAAGAAACAAGAGGCCCAATGGGCCTGCATTGCTCACCTGGTATAAATCTCACACTTGTTACCTTAAAAGTGATCTAAGATAAATCTACAGGCAAAATATCAGTATATATGATTAACTGAAATTCAAAAGAACCTGTTAAAAGATTTTAAAACATTTCATCTGTGACCTTGAAAGTCGAATGAGGTCATTATGTTGAACACATTTTTATAGCCCTTCATTTCAGGATGCAACTTGCAAAATATCACCACCCTATCCTTTTGTTTATTGAAATTAGGTCACTTATAGGTTTATACATATTTGACCAAATGTGACCTTGAAAGTTGGTCAAGATCATTCCAACAAGAGGTCCAATGGGCCTGCACCTCACCTTCACCTGGTATTAATCTCACACTTGTAACCTTATAAGTGATATAAAATAAAGCTATAGGCAAAGGAGCTATTAGGCTATTAGCACCCAGACCTTTTGTTTATTGAGATAAGGTCATTTAAAGGTTTATACATATTTGACAAAATGTGACCTTGAAAGTGGGGCAAGGTCATTGAAATGAACAAGTTTGATAGCCCTTCATCCAAGCATTCTACTGGCCAAATATCAACATTCTAGGTATTATGGTTATTCAGAAGCCGTTTGAAGATAATGAACGTATTTGATCCCTGTGACCTTAAAAAAGGTCAAGGTCATACATTTGAACAAACTTGGTAGCCCTTTATCCCAGCATGTTGTGGGCTACATATCATTCTGCACCTTTTGGTAATTCAGAAGAACTTGTTTGAAGTTTTTAACATATTTGACTCCTGTCACCTTGAATATGGGTGAAGGTCATTTATTTGAACCAACTTGGTAGCCCTTTTTCTCAGCATGCTACTGACCAAATATCATCATCCTGGTTTTTTTGCTTATTCAGAAGAAGTTAATTAAAGTTTTTTAACATATTTCACCCATCACCTTGAATATGGGTGAAGGACATTTATTTGAACAAACTTGGTAGCCTTTCATTCCAGTTTGCTACTGACCAAATATCATCATCCTGCATCTTTTGGTAATTCAGAAGAATTTTTTTGAAGTGTTTTTTTTAGACCATTGACCCCTGTGACCTTGAATATAAGTGAAGGTCATTCATTTAAACAAACATAGTAGCCTTTTATCGCAGCATGCTACTGGCCAAATATCATCCCCTTAGGCATTTTGCAACACAGAATTCCAGTTGCCCTTATATTTTTAGACAAGAATAGTAAGCGGCCTGCACTGCGTACCACAGGTGCTTCAAAAAAACAAATTTATCTAAAATATATTCCCTCATTTTCAGGACACATATTCAGCAGTAGTCCTTTGTGTTGATATTTGGAGTAAATATGCTTGGTGTTGAGTTTGACAATTTGCTGTGCATGCTGAAATATTTCAAGTGCAATTGCAGCATGGAAACCAAATAACCAGAATTGAGTACCTTCATTAATTAGGCGTAAATATGCACACATCAAAATTGTGATAGAACTTAGCTAGTTTGTTGTCACTACCACAGACAATACTGTCATTACCACAGACAAATCCATAGAACTTCGCTAGAGTTTTGTCGTAACCACAGACAAAACTGTCATTACCACAGACAAAACCATAGAACTTAGCTAGAGTTTTGTCATTACCACAGACAAAACTGTCATTTCCACAGACAAAACCATAGAACTTAGCTAGAGTTTTGTCATTACCACAGACAATACTGTCATTACCACAGACAATACTGTCATTTCCACAGACAAAACCATAGAACTTAGCTAGAGTTGTCATTACCACAGACAAAACCATAGAACTTAGCTGGAGTTTTGTCATTACCACAGACAAAACTGTCAGTTCCACAGACAAAACCATAGAACTTAGCTAGAGTTTTGTCATTACTACAGACAATACTGTCATTACCACAGACAATACTGTCATTACCACAGACAAAACCATAGAACTTAGCTAGAGTTTTGTCATTATCACAGACAAAACCATAGAACTTAGCTAGAGTTTTGTCATTATCACAGACAAAACCATAGAACTTAGCTAGAGTTTTGTCATTACCACAGACAATACTGTCATTACCACAGACAAAACCATAGAACTTAGCTAGAGTTTTGTCATAACCACAGACAAAACCATAGAACTTAGCTGGAGTTTCGTCATTACCACAGACAAAACTGTCAGTTCCACAGACAAAACCATAGAACTTAGCTAGAGTTTTGTCATTACTAGAGACAATACTGTCATTACCACAGACAATACTGTCATTACCACAGACAATACTGTCATTACTACAGACAATACTGTCATTACCACAGACAATACTGTCATTACCACAGACAATACTGTCATTACCACAGACAATACTGTCAGTTCCACAGACAAATCCATAGAACTTAGCTAGAGTTTTGTCATTACCACAGACAAAACTGTCATTTCCACAGACAAAACCATAGAACTTAGCTAGAGTTTTGTCATTACCACAGAGAATACTGTCATTACCACAGACAATACTGTCATTACCACAGACAAATCCATAGAACTTAGCTAGAGTTTTGTCATTACCACAAACAATACTGTCATTACCACCGAGAATACTGTCATTACCACCGACAATACTGTCATTTCCACAGACAAAGCCATAGAACTTAGCTAGTGTTTTGTCATTACTACAGACAAAACTGTCATTTCTACAGACAAAACCATAGAACATAGCTAGAGTTTTGTCAGTACCACAGAGAATACTGTAATTCACACAGACAATACTGTTATTACCACAGACAAAACCAGAGAACTTAGCTAGAGTTATCTTTACCACAGACAAAACCATAGAACTTAGCTAGAGTTTTGTCATTCCACAGACAAAACTGTCATTACCACAGACAATACTGTCATTACCAGACAAAACCATAGAACTTAGCTAGAGTTTTGTCATTACTACAGACAATACTTTCTCTTACCCTGGACAGGTGTATGTGCACTTTTACCGGTGTGAGATTTCCTTGTCTAACCCTAGGGTTGAGACGGGGGGGATTCCCCTATTCATAACAATGGTATGACATCACTTCAACAATACAATGACGTCACGTCAACAATCCATCAACGTGTCACGTCAACCCTGAATTTAGCATGTAATGTTATCATTACATTGTGTATATATTACAAATTGGGAGAACAGGGTAAGGGAAAAAAATTCATTCACCCCTTTGTGGAGAAGATAGAGGAATCTCAACCCTCGGGGAATGATTCTTAAGTTAAGAATCTTCCCCCTCCAGTTGAGACCCCCCTATCTCACCCCCAAGGGGGTGAAAGATTCTATTAGTCATTACCACAGAAAATACTAAAGAATGTAGAACCAAAAACCAGAAACTAAAAGGTGAAAGACAAATACACTGACAACCACACTCAAACTATAAACCAGTATTTTCTCTAAAAATGATTTTAAATCAAATTGGGGAGAAGGGAGGAAAAGAACCATATTTTGGCCACAAAATAAATGGAAGCAAAACATAAAAGTATTGATAGAAATATGACTTATATGTGTGGTTTTGGATGTGCTAGACTTATATGCGTGTTGCTAGATGTGCTGGACTTGTGTGTGGCATTAGGTCTGTGGCCTAGATGTGTATTGGTAGGTGTGTGGTCTAGATGTGTATTGGTAGGTGTGTTTGGCCTAGAGGTGTGTTGCTAGGTGTGCTTGGCCTAGAGGTGTGTTAGTGTTAGTGTTAATAGCTCACCTGGAAGTGTGTTTTCAATTTATAACCTATTGATTACCATACATGTTTAACAAAAAGGTACAGGGAATGTAAGCTGTAAATAAGACTGAACCCCTAAAGGCATAAAATGGTTATAGATTTGGGATCACAACTATTTCCATGTTACGTCCCAGGAAGCAATTTCAGTCCTGAGGGAACTGGCCACATTAAAAGGCAAAATTCCTAATAACAATTGTACATATCTGCTTATATATGGGTGTTTCAACTTTTTCATGTTATGACCTTGGGATGAGGTTTGACTTCTGACCAATCCTGGGACCCTGTCTCTTCATGTCTAGCAATTGTATATATTGTATCATTATAGGGTGGAGATTACTCTATGATACAGGGAGTAAGTATCAAGGGGTAAGGTTAACCTTAGGGCCAATCCTATTGGTCTTATCATGTTCAGCAATTCCATATATGGTTAAAGGATGATTATCTTAACTGTTTCTATCTGATGTCTCCAGTAATATTAGTCCTCACTGTTGGAGTCAGACCCCTGGCCATATCCTTGTAACATCAATCAATTCATCTCCTTATTTTCCTAACAACTATATACATGGTTACAGGGTGGAGATCTCGACTGTTTCCATATTTTTATCCAGGGATAAGATCTTAGGGGTAGGGCTGGACTCTCGGGTCAATCCTGGTAGCCTAAATCAATTCAAAGTTATGACCTCATTTCTCTACTAGACCCCACCCTGTGGTTGAGACCAGAA